CTCTAATCAGCATAATACTTTAATATCATTCGAAACAAGTCGATATATTATATTAGTATTTAATACAATATATTTTATATCACCTAATATTATCATTAAAGTGTTATAAGACGCTGCATAATGTGAGTTTACCCGTGTTAGTATCTACTTACACTTTTCAGTTCGCCAGAGGAGCTTTTCCTATTTTGGTTCGCTACAACCTATAATACCAAATGCCGCCGGCAGGTTAAATATCAACGATATTGGCGGTATTACATATGTTTGTATGTATGTATGTATGTATGTGTGTATGTACGTATGTACTATGTATGTAAGTATTTGTATATATGTAGGTGTATTTGGGTGTTAATGTGTGTTACTCTATAGTGACGTTAAATCCACGATTACGGTGTTCGTGTAATATTGTATTGTATAGGTAAGCATCGAAAAAAACCGATTAAATTTTTAGTGCTTACACTGCAGCAGCTCGATGTGTTTTTATACATCGATTGGATACATTCATTTTATTTGTTTCGCAAAAACTGATTATGCAAGACGTCGAATTCAATATTAATTAAGCCGTAAAAATAGTACTGTTATCATCACGATTTGTTATTGTAATATCGCAATAATATCGATTCGGAATTACACCTATTTCGCAGTTTAATAAACTATAAAACTATTAAGTATATAATATTATATTGTAATTGAAATAATTACACGAAATTGCTTAGATTGGTAATGTGTTTAATGAACGAAATAGAATACAATAGTATAACACAGAGAGTTGTTTTTTTTTTATTGATGTCAGTCTAACCTGGTACTAGTAAAAAATAGTATTCAATGATGATATGTATATTATTATGTATTTAATAAACCTAAATAATTTCAATATAAGTGTGATACTTAACTATAGTAATTATAATTAGAGTTTAATAAACTTATTTAGAAAGCTTAAAATCCTGGATCTATTTTTCATCAAAAATTGTTTTCAAATTTCTTATATAAAGCATAATATTATTTTCTTTTAAAATATCTCTTGAATCAGGTTTCTATTTCTTGGTACCTATGTCTGCTATATTAGAATATGTCTGTTTATTGAAAATATATTGCAAATATATTGGCACACAATGCCGATAAAAAGCACATTCATGAAAAAAGTCAACAAAAGTTAAATTGAAAATAACTATATACAAGTTTCAACATATTGTAATATACTTGTTACATATATTTTACATATTTTTGGTAATATTTACTGTCTTGACCTATAATACGTAATGTGCTGAATTAATTATTATTTACCTAAACGATATCCTACAAGCTATATGTATGAATAGTATATATATATTATACTTCTTGATTTTAGCAATGTTAAATATCGTATAGTGCTTTATATTTTAAATTGTATATTTTTTCAGTATGTTTAGTCTGAATACTAACCATTACGTGAACATTTTTTATATATAGGATAAATTAATTAATTACCGTTTATGTTATTTAATGAAACACATTTTGTGAATGATTGTGAATGATATTTTTTTTCGTCGAAAGGACCCGCTCACCCATAGGTTTTCGTCAGATTTATTGGTTACATTAAACCAAAGAAAACTTTTTTTTAGCATCGCATTTTTTATTTCATCCCATGAGACAAGGTTATATCGTCACATGCAAATTTATCTAGTGAAAAAAAAAAAAAAGATATAACGTTGAAAAAAAGTTTCCCGAGGATCCGAGTCACGCTTGTGTGTCCCCATACGATAATACTGACTCGCGCACAGTTTGTTTAATCGGATAACGGGGGGGTCTCCTAATTTACATTCAACTTGTTTCCTCATCCGTGCATGTGTTTTCGTGTTACTATATATACTTATTCATATCGACGTACATAATATCTAGAATCAATGCAATGATTTAATTTATTTAAATTCCAAGAATTGTTTGTTATTTCTATAGTGTTGCTGAACATTTTAATAAACCCCGCCGAGAATGTATATTTTCGTAGAAACGTTTTTAATAACTATAATAAGTAAAGATTTTTACAAAATATAATGAACGAATCGCCGCTATTAAAATATACAATACATAAGGTTTTATTAAAACTATGAAAATATTATATTATATTATATTATTATAATATTATATTTTATAAATTTGAATATAATCTGTTGATATACTGTTAAAATATTATTGAAAACAATAAAAGTTTTGTAAATATTTTATCCTCTATACGTATATTTATAGGTTTTTATAATGTTTCTACAGGCTATATGTTAATATTATATATTCATATAAAATAACATACAAAGGGTCTAGCGTGACCTGGTGGTTGGCCTAAGTCGCTAACGTGTTCTGAGGTCAAGCATCAGCCGGTGTCGCTAGTTCCCGGATAGGCAAACATGATTCTAGTAACAAATCCTTGGTACATATACACGTGTTCTAAAACAGTACCCACCTCCACAGTAAAAATCGATTACAGGCTAATAACCATTGCTTTAAAGTCTAAAATTTATACGAAAAAAGAAAATTCTGTATAAACTCTAACATAATCAAGACACTTGTCAAGGCACAATCAAGGTCTTCACAGTGTCTTGTACAGTTTTTAATTTTTTTTACAATAAAACACTTACAAATAAGAAATTTAAAATATTGTTTACTATGAAAAGTAGGCACAATTTTACTGAGTAAATGAACGCTGAGCATAAATAAACCACCCTGAATTTGTATATACATTATATTCAATGTTATTAACGCATCATTTATTTTCTAGGTTAGTACTTGTAAATGGAAAAAGAATATCGATGAATAAACTGTATTATACAATGTTTACTATTCAGACTAGTAGGGTTTTCTTCAATCGATTTCTATACTATCACAAAAGGTATAAATATATAACCACGAATTGATCGAAAAGTCACATTACATTATTGTCAATAGATATATAGAACATAGGTCTAATATTCATCCATATAATGCGCAAGTCGATCAACATGGTTTTATTCGGAATTTTGAAGGCAAAATATTTACTAACTCATGGATTTAAAGGTTTTCATTAATAAATTAAAAGAGTGATTAATCGATATTTTTTTTTCTTAATGCCAATATTGTGTATGGCATAATGTTCTTAAAATGGCATTTAAAAATAAAGTACTATATATTATTGCAACATTAAATAAGTTACATGACAACAGCTTCCATAAAAAAACCATAACGTTATTAAATAGTATGTATATAATTTTAATGCATGCAAAATTATACATTATATTATTGTATTGCATTTTATTATGCGTATTCGCAGTATTTGCTACGTATTCAAAAGTTATAATGCTATTAATTTAGAATAGTTAATTCAGCAGTTATGTTTCTTCTTAAACAAGTTTTCTATTGAACTCTTAGTGTTAATTTAAGTAAGTTAACAATAAAAGTTTGTATAGTATACAATTTGTAATTATTACGACTTAGCAATTATTTTCTAAAATAATAATATTTACATTAAATCTATAAGCTTCTCAGATCCTTAGACTTTCCAATCTGATAGAAATTTTCTTAAATAATTTTTTTTGCAAAGTTATAAACCATTTGACACTTCCATCTCAATTAGACCAATAAGTTTATTGCTTTTCTTATCAAACATTTTAGAAAGACTTATCTCGAAACTTTATTACTACATATTACTACTAATAATATACTCCTAAATACTTAATTTGGGTTTTATAACACACATAGCACTATATATCTAGTAAATTGTGTTTCTGATACTATTAATTTAGCTCTTGAAAAAAAAAATCGTTCTTGTATTTTTTTTTTAGATGTTTCACGAGCCTTCGATCGAGTTTGGCATGAATGCTTGCAATTTAAATTTAAAGGATTTCTCTCTTATTCTATTGATTAAATTATACTTAACTGATAGACATTTTCAAGTCCAATATATTATATAACACATCAACATTGGTAATTTCTAAAATTAAAGCTGGTATTCTACAAGGTGATATATCTTTAACATTTATGTAGTTAACCAACCTACAATGTAACAAACTATTGAAGCTGATTATGCCGACAACAAAGTGATTCTATCTATAAATAAAAATCCTTAAACTGCCTCATTGAGTTTAGAAATGCATCTTAACCATTTGTCTCAGTGATATGAAAAATGGTTCGTCAAAATAAATTAAAATCAATTTATATATACAACGTTCACATTCAGTGTATTACTATTATCATATAAAATTATTGTACTAATTTGTATAAATTGTTTATGTCAAATAAAAATAGAAACAAATTATAAGATTTTCTCTTTTATTATAGCACAGAGATATTACTTATAGTTATTTAATTTTTTGTGTAGACAATTTTATTTATCTTAAGATTTAAATTCAACTTAATTATTTAATTGCTACAAAAAACTAACTTAACATTATTATGTTTTTGTATTATATAAATACAATAATTATAAAGATTTTTTTTTTTTTTATAATTAATTTCTAGAGATTTTAACTTAATTATTACAGAACAGTTTATTATTTTAAATATTTGATTAGTAATAATTATAATTATTTGGTATAATAGATGAATTTTTAAATTATTTTGAATTTAATAGCAATTAGTAGAAAAAGATATAGTATTGAACAACTAAACAATTTTTGCTATTAAAAAGTGTTTATAGATATAAAAAATAGAAATGAGCACAAAATTTATTGGAAAATCAATAGTTTTCACTTTTCTTGCTTCGTTTAGGATTCGAAATTGGATGTAATTGGATATTGTTAGTGGACTGAAAATATAATAGGGTTTCTTTGTAAAAAAAAAAAACAAAAAACCATAATGGTTGTTTTTTTTCAACTTGCAATTTTCACAAAATATATTTTGATATTTATTTTATTATAATGAAATATGATTAATATCATATTTTTCATTTTTGTATAATATACATTTTACAAATGGGGACCATAAAATTTGCCTCTAAATTTATGCTTGAATATATTTTATAATTTATATCACAACATAATAGTTTAATATCAACTTACCTAACACGGTTAAGTATATAGGATGTCCTATGGGCGGTGTTGTACTTATCTGGCACTCGTATATACCAGAATCTTTTTTCTGTGGATATTTTATTCTTAACGACCAGTTTTCTGAGTGCGGTTCATGAATGGCTTCGAACCGTTGGTCACTTGTATATGTGTATCTTCCCGCTGTGAGAAGATGTATGTCCCGATGTCGAATCCACGATACCTGAAACACGTTTAGATTTTTAAATAGAAAACAGTTATTCGTAATCCATAAGATATATTATAGAATAATGATAATATTTAATTGTTAGAAATATCTTTTATTAATTACGTTCATTAAAATTTATTAACTGAACATTGTATTTAAACTGTTTTTTTTAATAATATTAATAATATATGCCTATTTTAATTTGATACTTCTTTAAAATAGGTAATAGAAAACTTAATTTGAAGAACAGACGTAAAGAGAGTTTTTTTTTGTTTTAAAGCAAATGAATGAAATATTGCAATTATTGTTTTTCTTGAAATTTTAGTATATATGAAACAAGATAATTTGTTTCGTTGTTTTTTATTGTTTTAATTACATAAAGTTATTTAATTTCTTTTCTATAAAAATGCAGCGATTTATACAGTTATATGCTCTTTAGAGTGTATACACGACAAATACAACAATATTTGTAAATTATGTTTTATCCTTGATTAAAAGTATTAAAGGTTACTATTAGAATTGTCTATTTTAATTTCCTTCACTCACTCAATTTTTTTATATCGGAATAATATAAGTAGATAAAGTTTTTTTTTTTTTTTAAGTACTCAAAACGTGCTTCTTTTTATATTAAAAAAAAATAAATAATAGATTTCCTTAATAATTATAAATGGATCTTAGAAATAGAGAATATATTATAATCTAACTATAACAGTATAGATAATATTTAACCTATAATATAAAATGTAGGTTCATGATATTTATTTTTTAATTTTAAATCATTTCAGGTTTGTAATATTGTCGATAGTTTAAGACTGCACTGTTAGAAAAATAACATAATATACTATATAGATAAATAAATTGAAACTTTTAATTTATACTACTAATATAATTTAAATCTATGTGCATTTGTGTGTTAATAAAATAAGCCAAGAGATTTTTCTTTCACTATTTAAAGTAGCTTGGAAGGAATGGAAACAAGTGTATATAAGACTTGTTTCTTATTTGATTAGATACAATGGGTAAATCGATATTTTTGCAAAAAAAAAAAAACAACAATAGTATAGGTAATAATAGAATATTTACTCTATAATTTTAGAAAATATTAAAATTGAAACATACGAATCAAACATACACGCTCTTGTGTATATTTTAACAATTCTACTTGAACCAAACGATTTGGAAATATTTTTAAGCAGAGCAGGTGTGAAATGGAATGAAGCCTCAGAAGTTATTTCAACATGAAAGGACAACTGCAGATGTGTCAACGTGCTCGTGTATGTTTAATGTGTCTGTAGTTGTTGAGAATGAAAAAAAGAAGAAAGGTAAATTTAAAATCCTCAGAAAAAGTTGAAAACAACAAGTATTCAAAGAAAAAAAATCTATAAAAAACTTTTCCAGTTCGGTCACTCAAATATAAAAAATATATATATATATATATATAAAAAGGTTATTGGGTATTTTCTATTTTGATGATTAACGGTGGATGGTTATTTACTTAAGGTGTTATTAAACAATAATTTATTTTTGGAAATTATTTTATTTTACTGTCACACATTTTTATTATATTATACTAAATTGTTTTGATTGAAATATTTTATGCAAATTATGTAATAAATAATAATAATAATATGATGATGATGATGAAATTTTAATAAAATAATAATATTTAGAATAAATGTTTATACTATTAATGATTGATTATAAAACTAAATAATATTATATTTTAAAATTAAATAGTTTTAGTTTTTTTAAGATATAAAACGCCATTCATACATGGTAATTTAAAAATATTTTTATGGTTTTTATTTACTTTTTAGTTTTAGTATTTTATTGATTTTAAGAAGTAGAATGAACATGATATACACATTTATTATATTATTTTTAAATACAGTCAGTATGCCGGTTATTAATAAAATACAATAAAGTTGCGTTTTTTTTTTTTTATAAACCAAACAATTTTGATTTATTTTAATATTGTATAATTATCTAGTTTTATAATATTATTAATATTTAATAGCCGTCTCCATTTTATTCGTAAAATAAAGAAAGTAACATAGTACGCAATTCAACTTTTAATATTTTAAGAGGTGTAAAATAACCATACACAAATATGATAACACATACAGTCGGATGGTAAGGCAAAAACCCGACAAAATCCCGTCCATAGAAACTTCTTTTAGGTAAAGTATAAACATACATTCTCAATAGATAACACCTAGTCAACGATAAGGTTTTCCATCATAATCCATTTGAAATTTGGACGGAAAACCATACATTTCTAATACAACAGACTGACAGGCTCACGGCATTAACGCAACTAAGGTCTTATGGACAGGTAATCAATATCGATAATTAAAAACAGTAAACTAAGTAAAATAATGTCAATATGGATGAACATATCCAAGAATAGTAAAACTCAATCTACAAATTAAATAAACAATTTATACTTAAAAAATTAAAAAATTATCAATTCCAGACTAAAGCGGCTTGATATAATTACTTGTAGAAAAAAGCCGATCTATCGCGGACATATTATACCAGAAAAAATTCTAACTAAACTGTGATCAAATGTTCCGATTTGCCGGGTCCTATGAAAATAAACTTATTTATAGTGTAGCAAAGAGACATTGAAATTAAAATTAAAATATAAATAATAATAATATCTAAGCTGATATAGAATATTTTTATTAGTAATATTTTTTAGTAAAAACATAAATAATTTTTCTTTGTTCTAATAAAACGATGATAATACTCGTATATTACTTAAACATTTGAAAGTTGTTTATAATTAATTACACGGAGTGTGGATACGTCTGTTTTTATCTAATTCTATATCTATAACTTCGGCCAACAAATAATTTCTTACCAATAATTTTGGCTTCAAACAAGGAAACGGGAAAACCAATAAACTTATTTCAATTTACAACTAACAAACTAGAATCTTTCATTAAAATTAATTTCCTCTACAACTCAATCACACGCATGCTATCAGTTGATAATTTCTATATTTTCTAATTAAGTAAGTCGATTAAATAAATTTAAACCGTTCACGTCATTTAGTCGCAACTGAGACGATAAAACTGGTGCAGTATTTGATTTTGATGAAACATTCACTTCTATCACTACCCTCTGGAAAATTCTTTATAAAATTAATAAAAAGTTTTATATTTGATTGTACTAAAAAAAGATATGTATTTTTTCACGATCAATCTTTTAGACCATTCATTTAAACTGATCAAACCTTTCCGCATGTCACTATTTCTATGTGAAATTAAAGTTAAATAATCATGTATCTACTCTTAATTTTTTTTTTTTTTTTTTAAATTACTGGTTAAAAGTATAAAATTAATAACTATCAAGAAATGTCTATCAAATTTGTTAATGTTTATTTTTTTTTTACGTATTTTTAATTAGCTACATATGATTCAAACATTATGTTTAAAATAAATTGAAATTATAATTTATACATTTTACCTCAGAAAAAAATTAAAATCCGAATTATCATAACGATGTTGTATACTTGAGCTGACAGGCTAATGTTATACTAGATGTTGTCGTAATCATCAATCAATTGAGCTATTCCCGTCATCAACATTAAACAGACTAATAAAAGAAATATAATCGATACAATCCATTAAAATATTTACTCTATGTTACACACACACTAACTAAAACACAACCGACCACAAGTACTGTACCATTTGTAGAAAAAATTATTCGAAGGAAATTATTCCAAGCTTAACAATAGCTAAGAAATGTGTCAAACGAGTTTTTTCGGAAAATTATAAGACATTATAATATAAAACATTTATTAAATGGGTTTTCAAAATAATTATGTGGTAACAATGTTTCAATTCCAAATTAAATCACTATATTATTATATAATAGTGTAATGCATTTTACGCAAAATTAAATTTCAGTTTAAAAAACGTGTTTGACATTATTCGTTAAAAACTCAAAATACCAAAATTAACTTAATTTTCTAACTACTGTTATCATCTAATGTAAAATTGTAACTTATTTATTTATCGCACTTATTACGCCAAAATTGTATTTTATCTCATCTCTCTAGGTATAGATAGCGCAAGCTAGGAGTACCTTATTGTATAATAAAAATAAAAAAAAAAAAAAATCTATATTTTTAGAAGTAATTTATTTTTACATTTTAAATTACTTTTATAGACTGCGTTATTGGCCTACGTATACTAGTATAACAAAGTATAATATGTATTTTAGTTCTTACATTTTTATATGCACAGTTCGAACGCAAATTATACGAAAATGTAAAATTAAATTATTATTGTCATAATTTTATTAGTTTAAAATTTAAATTTATTTTCTGTTTTTTGTGTGCTTAGAAAACATTTTATCTGATAATTTTAATACATATTATTTTTTTTGTGCGTGTGTATATCAATGAACTACTTCTAATGGGCTGAATTAATTTTCATGACATTTTTTTCATTATAATGGGAATGGAGCAATCATAAATATAATATTGGTAAGTATAGTGGTTTTATAAAAAATGTTTTAAAAAAATAATAAACAATTAAGTAGGTATTACTTTTATCTTGTCGATTTAATAACTACAGGTTTTGAAAATAAGTCATCTTAGTTAACAGTACAATAGCAACAAAAGCACTTAAAAGTTTTAAGTCTTTTCTTAATGCAATTTTCATACATGGGTGTACCCACTTGGGTACTCAACAATAGACACGTATACAATTTTAGTTGGATAATAATAGAACATACCAGTGACGAAGGTGACAAAGTATACTTTATCAACTAATTTAATTAACAAAAATATGCATCCAACCACCATCGTCAATCATCACCGCAAAAATATTATATTATATTATCGCGTAAAATAGTATAATAGATATGGCGAATTTGATTTGTCATAAGCTCATTACTATTAATAATAAATATAAATGATTGGTTAATAGTATCAGTCAGATATTGAGTTCAGGGCCACTGGAACACAACGTATTTTCATAAATTACTCATCAACATGA